CAAGTAGCTGGGTCTACAGGTGCCCACCACAACACCTGGCTATTTTTAAAGATGAGGTCTCACTCTTGCTCAGGCTGGTCTTGAACTCCTGAGCTCGGGCAATCTACCTGCCTTGGCCACCCCAGAGTGCTAGGATTACAGGCTTGAGCCACTGTGCCGGCTACTGGAGGGTTTTTATAGTCTCTTGTCATTTTAGTCTTATCGTCAATCTTTTTTTTTTTTTTACAAAGCACACTCAATATTTTGCATCTGATAATTCCGACATAAAAGTTGCAGCACATTTGACTGTATTTTAGCTCTAACTTACAGTAACTTATTTCCTTGTTTGTGTTGAAATTTTTGACAACGAGTTGATACTTTTGGAATTTTGAGACTTGGGTTGGAGGTGGATCTCTTCCGTAAATACTTGTTTTGCTTCTGCTAGGTGCCTGGGGGCACCTGTAGGACACCACATTCAATGAAATTCTTGACTTGAGGCTTTTCTCTGGGTACCCGTGTAGTGTGAATTCAGGTTGCAAAACCATGAGGGGACAGTGAACAGAAGAGACATCTTCCCTTTCACTCAGTGGTGAGATCTGAGTTGGGAGTGTTTTATTTTATTTTTTTTAATGTCCCCTGAGCAGGTGGTGGGGTATTTCTTTGTATTACCCAAATACTGAGGGATGACCTTCTGAGGTTTCACTGTTGTGCAGGAGTGGAGGTTGTGTCTTTGGCTTGGCTCTCAGGGTGATACGTTCTGGGGTTTGAGTCCTGCACCCCGTAGTCCAGCAGAGCACAGAAAAGGAAGGTCAGCTCATCTGGGTTAGCAAACACCCTCAGAGGGAAAGTGGTCTTACCTTCCAGGGTTCACTTTTCTCTTGGTTCTTGGCTTTTAACTATTTCTTATCTTTTAATTAGAACATCAATACATTTACGTATACGTTTTTAACATTTTAATCTGCATTTTTAGCTGTTTTCACTGAGGACGAAAGCATTCATTCAGAGAATTTAGTCCGCTGTACTGTTGGAAATGGAATTCTTATTTTTCAACCGTTTGTCATTAAGAAGCCCTATATTTTGAGGTAGTCAAATGGAGCTATCTTTTTCTTTATGATTGTGACTTTGGGGCCTTTTCTGAGAAATCATTCCTTATTCTCAATCTCCCTGTCTCATAGACAAATACTATATTCTCTTCTATTTTCTTCTTAGATGAATGTATATTCATATGTATACATAAGGATTAATTTCAATTTTAATTTATATAGATAACAATGGGTCATGGGTAGAATACAATTTTGACCTGAGCTAGGCATGGAAACAGAATGTGTGTGTGTGTGTGTGTGTGTGTATAATGGGAGGGGAGAGAGAGATATTTGGTTTTTAAGAAATAGGATCTCTCTGTGTTGCCCAGACGAGAGCACAGTGGCTATTCACAGGTGTGATCATAGCATCCTGCAGTCTCCAATTCCTGGGCTCAAACAATCATCCAGCCTTGGTGTCCCCAGCAGCTGGGACTATAGGCATGTGCTACCATGCCTGGATTGGTTTTTATATTTTTTAAAAGATTATATATATGTATATAAATATATATAAATGTAAAATATACACACATAAGGATCTATGTATATATAACAGGAGAAGAGCATGTGACAGAGATTGTATGTGGTTGAAAAGTCTGTAGCATCTGTTTTCTGGATCTTTATATTAAAAGCTTGTCAACTGTTATATTAATATCGTTTCCCCCACTCATTTGCCATGTTTTAGCTTTTCCTTTATACTTGAAGTTTGTTTGGGGGCCATTCATTTTGTTTCATTCATCTCTTTGCTTTTTGCCACCTCCAAATACCTCACTGGAATGAACTTAGCTGTTTTCATTAACAAAACTACATGAGTTAAAGGTGAGAGATTAGAAAATATGGGATGCGTTTTCAGAGTGGAAATGGGCAAACGCAGAGCGCTTACACTCAGATTCCTAATTGCCCCGACCTTGACTAGTGGAGCAGAGGTCCCGGGTGCTCATAAAACACATCTCTGACTCGCCCAGAGCAAGTGCTGGACCGTGGAATTGGATTTTATTGATGAATCTGTAACCGTGCGATGCCGTGAGAAGCACGCATCACTCAGAGACTTGTTCTAGGAAGCCTCCGACAAACGGAACAATGCTCTGTGAAGACCCAAGGGAATCAGAGTGAGCGAGGGGGAGGCCGGAGGCTGTGGAGGAGAGGGGCACTCTGTAAGCCCCCAAATGTATGGTAGTCACTGAAGAGGGGAGCAGAGAAGAAGGCCTGGGACCTGAGGGGCTGATTCTCCCGGTAGAGGCAGCTTTCCTCAGGGAGCGGCTGTTTACCTGTCTGTGCCCCGTGTCCACGCCCTTCAGTCACGACATGATTTACTTATTCAGTGAGATGGTGTTCTCAGTTAATGAGAGCACAGTCTCAGAATGCGGCAAGGCACAGACCTAAAGATGTGGCCCTGAGTTCACGTGGCCTCAGCTACATGTGGCGGCTGCTCTGCACGTGGCTGAGACCCTTTGTCACGTGGGTGGCAGCACAGGAGCTCAGACAGGGGGACGTGGGGGCTCCAGGGCCCACCGCACGGCACATTGCCCTGTGTTTCCCTGTGGGGTGAAGAGAGGACAGTGAGGGAACAGTGTGTCAGACCCCGCAGTCCCTCCCCAGCACCAGTGTGTGACTCAAGCTCTGCAAACTTGCAAGACCCCTGTGTAACCACCTTTCCTCCCATGGACTGGCTGATGCCCAAGGCAGTGGGGGCGTAAGTGTGTCCCCCTCAGAGCTGGGGCATGGATGTGCTGCCTGGTGGAAGGCTCCAGACAGGGCCCCACAGTATGTGCCATACCTTGAGGTATGTGACAGGTGACAGGAACAGGCTTGCAGACTGTGGCACCACAAAGGCTGCAAATATCATCCTGGGAGACTGAGGAGAGAAAGGACAGCCCAGCCATGACCAGACGAAATGCAGGCACACCTCTGCAGCCGATCGTCTCCCCACACTGGCCTCCTCTGTCACTTGGTCTTATTTTCAAAGACCAGACGTGTCCCACATGCACGAATCAGTTCTAGGCCTCATTCCTTGTGTTGACACCTCTGTCTGTTGACATGTTTGTTACAGTCCCTGGGTGGTCAAGTTACAGAGGTTCTGCTATGCTGCTTGGAAGACATGGCCAGTTTCACGTGGGCTCTCCCCAAGGGTGAAGGGATCAAATGCCACCTCGACAGGCTCTGAATCCAGGAGCTGGGCCTTTCCCTGGTATTTTGACTTAGTCCCTTGCTTGTCCAGATCCCCAACGTGAAGGTCCCTGCTGTTCACACCGTGCCATTCTCAACACCTGCAAGTCTGTGGCAGTCACCCGCAGACTCCGGGCAGAGGTGACTGCAGCTCCTGGAAGGGGGAAGAATTCTCTCTTCCTGCCCCTCCTCCCTTCCTCCTTTTGTCTCTGCACTTGGAAATCACTCTCCACCCAGCCCTGCAGGAGCCCCCACTGGGTCAGGGGTTTGTGATTAGGAAACAGCAGGGTGGCTCCCCACCCGGCTCAGACAGCTGCTCAGGAACCTGTGATCCTGACAAGCAGGGACAACTGCTTCAAAGGTCCCCTGGGGAGTGACAGCTCCTGCCCCAGGCAGGGGAGGCAACAGCGCCTGGCTGAGGGGAGCTGTCCCCAACACAGAGGCCAGGAAAGATGAACAAAAAGTCACTTTCTCATTGTTGCTGCCAGGAAAAGCCAGCGTCCAAGAGGTTACTGTATTCTGCAGATCTTATTTAAAATTCTGCAAGCAGCCCTGGTGATTAGGGGACTGCGGCTGGATCTTGGCAGTGGCTCAGACGAGTGAGAAAGGAGGAAGGACAGGCAGGCTGCCTCACCTTCCTCCCTCGCTGCTTCTGAGGAGTGTTCTGGAGTAGAGAGCTGTAAACTGAGTCTTGCAGAGGGAGGGGATAGCCTGTGTCTCCACCAGGCAGCCAGAAGTCCTGCGAAGATCTTTCAAGAGAGCTTAAGGCATGTTACAAGCCTTTGTAATTCAGTTCCTTCCCCTGCACAGTAGGGGTGCTAGACCAGATGGACATTCTGGTTGGGTTGCATATTCTTGTCAGTAAAAAATGTTGAGGCTGGGCGGCACCTGTGGATCAAAGGAGTAGGGCTCTGGCCCCATATGCTGGAGGTGGTGGGTTCAAAGCCAGCCCTGGCCAAAAACTGCAAAAAAATAAAAATGTTGAGGCTGCACCCTGTGTACACATCTGTTCCTTTACACGTCAGGTGTGTTAGACTCTACTAATGCATTGAACCCTTTGCAGAGGACGTGCAATGATAGAAATAAGCAAGTCTAGATGAAAATACAGATACGAAGATGCTCTAGCAGTTTTCTTTCTCTACCCCGGTTATGCCCTCCCTCTGGGAGGTGAAAACTTCGTTCCAGAAACAACTGGATTAGATGGTCTGTGGGGCTTCTACAGATGGAGTGTTGGCAAAGAATGAGATCCCCAGGATGGAGGTCACTAGCCCCGTGTGGCTATTTAAATTCATTAAAATGAAATAAAATTTAAAATTCAGTTTCTTAAACACACTGACTGCATGTCAAATGCTCAATAGCCACATGGAGTTTGTGGCTACTGTACAGGTCAGTGCAAATTACAGGACGTCTCCATCACCACAGGAGGCTCTACTGGGTAATCTGTATAGCAGGCAGTCAAGACCACGCAATTTAATATTCAATTGTAACTCACCTTTACTACGTAAGCACTTGCTATGTGCTCAGAATTGTGGGAAGCATTTTATAAGCGTGAACTCATTTTGTTCCCCCCCGGCTGCCTCCTGAGTGAGGTGGTCTGTGTATTATCATTGCCATGTCCCGGGGGTGGAGGTTTGGAGGGTCAGGAGTTACTCAGAGCCCATGGGCTAGTTGGATATTCAGCCCTGTGTTTCCCCAGGCAGCCCACAGGGGCTTCTCAGATTTTTCTGGGCACGTCCCTCGATGCTGGTCACTGCACATGTGGTTTTCCATCCACAGGTACAAAGGGAGTTTCCTGCAGAGCCGTGTTCAGCTCAGAGCCAGCAGACTGCACAAGCCCACCTGGGCCCCACGGAGAAGCTGCCACCTGCCCCCACTTGAGGGATTGGACTGGGCAGGACCCTCAGGCAGGACCCTTGGGAAGGCCTCTTCGGAAATGGCAGGTAATGCTCTCCTAGGGGGCGAAGGCACCAGGCTTAAGGGTGAGCAGGCCCCAGCCCAGAGGCCAGCAGGGGATAGAGGCATGAGGGATGATGACCAAGGCATGACATCCGAGAGAGAATCAAAGTGACCCTAAACCCATGGGGAGGTGGGGTGAGAAGATAAGAATCCATCCCGGAGTACCAGCCACCTGTGCCAGATGAGCTTCCCTGCAGGGCCTGGGAAAACAGGAACCAGAGCTCTTGGCACCTCCATCGTCACCATCTCTAACGAGCAAGGGCATTTGGTTCTTTCCACAGGGCTGGTGTGAGACTCAAAGGAGTCAGTGCATGGGCTTGAGAGTGGGTCAGTGTGGGGCAGAAGCCCAGGTGGCGTGTGGAGCTGCGGGGCGTGTGGCTTCCGTGGGGTGCAGTAAGAGGCTCACTTTTGATGGTGCTCAGGAATAACTAAGGGATGGACTCGTGGGGATGGCTTCCTGGAAAAATGGCTATTTTAAGCTGAAGTCACTGGGCAACTGGGGTGAATTGCTGAACTTCTCTGGACCTTAATTTCCCCTCCCTTTTTTCCCCTCCTCCAGTCTTCTGTGCGAGGCTGCAGGGCCTCATCTGACCTCTGGGGTGGCTTGCCGTACCATCCTTTTGTGCATGAATGTGGGCTGTTCAAGGGGTGAACTTGGGCTGTATCTGATCAAGGTCTTTGGTCAGGGAGGTTTCGTGGCATGTGCCTCCCTTTTCTTCCCCTCTCAGCCTCTTCCAGCTGCTGGTGCCTCCAGGAATCTCATGGCTTATGGCCACATCATTCCCATCTCTGCCTCCACCTTCACTTGGCCTTGACCCTGTGTCACAGCAGGTCAAGTCTTCCTCTGCCTTCCTCTAATAGGACACTTGGCAATGGATTTAGGACCCTCACGAAATGTGGGATAGTCTCACCTGTGATCCTTAATTTAATTACATCTGCTGAGACCCTTTTTCCAAGTGAGGTCACACCCCACATCTGTTCATTGCTTCTGTGCACTGGGGCTTGGAGGTCAGTAGTCAACCACCTTTGCAATCTTTCCCCCACCTGTGAACCAACAGAGGTGACCTTAAAATGTGCTTTCAAACTAAAGAGGTGACAACATACCCAGACTTTCGTGTACAATCATGTACATCTAGTTCTCATTGGTCAACAGTTTTTGCGGGAAGTTTCTATGGTAAATTTAATATAATGAAAACTGAATTGCCCCAGTCACCACCAGCAGAACACACTCCACACTTTGGAGAACAGTTGTCCAGGTGACCACAGGTAGCCTTGATCCTGATCAGCTTCCCTCCAGGGGCAGCTGCGCGGGGCATGGGCAGGGCCCCCACCTATGGCTGGTCCAGCCCCACACTCTGGCACTGACCATTGCTGGTGTCAGTCCAGAGCGAAAATGCGACTCCTTCCCCTGCCCCTGTGAAGTGGGTACCTCTGCCTGGTGTGCTCGTGCCACCCCTGGGCCCAATGCCAGCATAGAGACGTGCTGAAAGCCTGTGATTTTTTTATTGTACTTTCTACCCCGTCTTCCCGTTAAAGCTTCCCTTAGCCTCAGGGTTGGGTCCTGCATCTGCACCATGGGCTGATGGAGGAGCCCTGGAGACCCCGAGCCTCTCTCCATTTGGGGAAAATCCCAGTCCTAGATACATCTTGTCCAACATCAGCTTTTCATTACTTTTTTCATACCCAAATCCCAAGAGCAAACTGGGGGCACCGATGGATGGTAAATAAAACCAGACCAAATCGGGGAAAAAAAAACAGCTCAGAAACAAAACCTAGATATAGAGCTAAGAACCAAGAGGCCATCCATAGTTCACATGCCTGCTGGGACCCCCTTCCCATAGGCAGTCACGCCCAGAACTGCCTGCAGTGGTGATGCACGGCTGTGCTTTTCATGTTTATTATTTGAGCAGCATGTTGGGCCAGAGGCTCAGGTCCTGGGGCTCATTTTCAAAGGCCTTCCTCCCCAGCAATGACAGGGAACTCGGAGGATGCCCACTGCAGTGCAGGTGTGAACCTGTGGGGCGCGGGAGAGGCATTGGCCTGGGGAGAATCAATCACTGCCCATTCCTTGTTGAAGTGTCAGAGGGGGAACGGGGAAGGAGGGTGGGGTGCACCAGTGAGTGGAAGCTGACCGGTCATGATGGACACCACCCAGGCGGAGGGCAGGAGGGTGCATTAAAATAAATACCACCTGGAAATCAAAGGGAGTGGGATTGTATCACCAGCACTTGCCAACATCAATAGTTCACTGTGGAGTGACAGGCTCTCTGAGGGCCTTGGGTGTTTAAAAACAAAATGCTCTAACTTCAAAGAGCCTGAAGCCCCTTGTGGCCATCCACCACCCACAGAAACCTTCCTGAGTGCCCTTTGACCTGGAAGGTGCCGGGCAGGGAGAGCAGAGCTAGGTCCTCAGCGGGAGCGCGGTCCTGGCCTGTGCACGCCTGCGGTGTGCGTGAGTGTGCCTGTGTGTTTATGCTTTTCTGTGGGGGGTGAGGGGCTGTTTTCCATGGTAGGACAAAGAGGAGGTGAGTGATCTGCTGTTCTTAGTTACCTGAGGGGACATAATTTGAGGAAAGGTGATGGAATCCAACAAAAAAAATGACGACCTTTGTGTGTGTGTATGAGTGTTGGGGGGATTTCTCAATTTAAAGGTAGGGAAAACCAGGTGGTGCCTGTGGCTCAGTGAGTAGGGCACCAGCCCCATATACCGAGAGTGGTGGGTTCCAACCTGGCCCGGGCCAAACTGCAACAAAGAAATAGCCAGGTGTTGTGGCAGGCACCTATAGTCCCAGCTACTCAGGAGGCTGAGACAAGAGAATCACCTAAGCTCAAGAGCTGGAAGTTGCTGTGAGCTGTGACATCACAGCATTCTATAGAGGGTGACAAAGTGAGACTCTGTCTCTAAAAAAAAAAGTAGGGAAAACCTTAGGTTCTAATCCTCATAAATGTTTTAAAAGTTAAGTGATCCAGAATACTTGCATTCAGGAACAGAAATAAGACCTTATAACTGATTTTTTGTTTCTTCTTTATTTTTTTGGAAATACTTCCTGTCAACAACTTAGGAGGATGAGAGAGAAAGGATGTTTTTGTAAAAAATATTTTTTAAAAAGATGTTTAATTTCCCTCTCTTCTAAACTATTCCAATAGCTCAGTACTAATCATTCAAATTAACAGATGGCTTGGCAGGGAAGTCATCTGCAAACAGAAGGCCAGCAGAGTTATTAGGGATGAGGACCTAATTTATAAGATTTCACGTTGATTGGAATCTGTGAGACTTTCCTGACAACTGGGTCTTTTTTTTTTTTCTTAAACCTAAATCCAGGAGTCTATCCCATTTACGTTTCCAGCTAGGAATGAGAAATTTCTGTTTAGATACTAAATATAATGAACATGGCAGGACGGTGTGGGAGGGTCACTGTCTTGAAGAGCACCCACACCCACTTTCGGGTGGTGATATGTGGACATAACCTCCTAGACTCAAGCCACCTCTTTGGAGGGATTGGTAGAAAAAGCGTTCATAGATGCCAAGTCAGCGACTGTCCCACAGAAAGCAGGCATCTCCCTTAAATCTGAATGTTCTTACTGGGACACCCCCAGGCCTCAGCTTTGCTGGTTTGCTGGGAGCACGAGGACTAAGAGACTAACTGCTGCTGAATTTAGACCCACTCCACACTCCTCTCTCCGCTTACCGTAGCATTTATCCATGCCATTCAGGTTAATTTGCACAATACAATGTAAATTGATTGCCAAGTGAAATCACAAATTGTGCTCAAGACATTACATTTCATGAAGCTGATGAAAATGACCATTGGAGACCTGCTTTATTCACATCCTTCGGCAGAGTCAGACTAGGTGACAGGTGCAGGTGAACAAGAGAAAACTCAAGGATAATTCTGAGAGTGACTTGAATACTGGAGGCTTAAGGGAAGGCTTTGGAAACATGAATAAATTTCTATAGTCTTTTTTTTTTGGTGGGGGACAAATGCCCCTTGGCGATCTTGCTATGAAAGTGAACGGCAAAGTGAAGACCACCTGTTGGTTTGCCCTACAATTTGGTGTAAAACCAGCTCATCTTCATCAAGGCCTGGTGAACTTTTGTTGATTTTAACAGTTAGCTTGCAGTCTGTCACTCTCCCCTCCAAACTGAAGGTTCATTTTTATCTTTGTGTGCTTACCAGCTTATTTTCATAACTTTTGTTTTCATATTTCTTCTTATTTTTTTTTTTAGAGACAAGAGTCTCACTTTATCACCCTCTGTAGAGTGCTGAGGCGTCACAGATCACAGCGACTTCCAACTCCTGGGCTTAGGCGATTCTCTTACGTTAGCCTCCCAAGTAGCTGGGACTAGAGGTGCCTGCCACAATGCCCAGCTATTTTTTTTGTTGCAATTTGGCTGGGGCTGGGTTCAAACCCACGATCCTCAGTATATGGGACCAGCGCCCTACCCACTTGAGCCACAGGTGCCGCCTGTGTTTTCATTTTTCAAGGTAAATTCCCTAAGTCTTTAATCCTTTGTTGTGAAATTTTGGTCCCCATTGTGAATGGATTCATTTCCTCAGAAGCAGTGACCCCGTTCACCACGCTGATAGGGTCTCCTCTACCTTTGCAACCAGGTGCCAGCATAGTGGCAGGGACTCGGTGATTGCTGAATGAATTGAATGAGCCTGGGTTTCTTCACCTGGAGCTTTCTTGGACCATGACCAATCTCAGTTTAAAAAAAAAACAGCTTCCTTGGGCGGTGCCCCAGGCTCAAGGAGTAGGGCACCGGCCCTATATACTGGTGGGTTCAAGCCCAGCCCTGACCAAAACAAACAAAAAACAAAACAGCTTCCAAATATTATTTGAAAATGAACAAGAGAAAGCATGCAACCTGGAGGTTTGGTTTCCAGTTGTCCTTTCAAGTTGTGTCAGTAATGGAAGGCGCCAGGGGGTGTCCAGTGTGGATGGCAGGGGACTAGCCAGCATCATTTGGTTTTATGGAACT